TTCCTTTTGAAAAATAAGTACAAAGACACGAGAAGATGAGGTCCCTTGCTGAATAGGGCAGCCCGAGACGGGTCACTTCGAGAGGATGTCGATCGACTCTTCGAGATTTTAGAGAGACTTATCTCTGTGTAGTAGGCCAGGGAAGAGAGGAGGGAACTGTTTGACCCTCCACCGCTTCTACACTATGAGCCACTCCTACAACGAGAGAATCTAATGCCAACTCGATGCAACCCTGCTCCTCCGTCGTATCATCCGACACTATCACAATACAATTCAGAGCCCCCATCGTATCATCCGACACCGTTATAAGGCCAACCGCTCCCTCACCAGCAACATCTGGCCCCTCTTCCACGAGACTCAGTTTCACCCATGATGGACCTGATAGAGATTGACACGGGAGACCCTGATGTATTTTTAAGAATGAACTGGTTAGTAGCACATCACGCCACCGTGGATTGTTTCCACGAGAAAAATTATATTTAAGCCTCCTAACAAAGAGTCATTTACAAGCTAATAAAAGTTTCGAATATTATTCCCTCATAGTAATTTCCTTATTACATAACGCTTTAACTCGGTTATTTTCTCTAATTAGGCAAACCTAAGAAAAAAATTTGTATTCGAGAGATTTCGATAGTTTGAGACTTCCCGGATGTTTTTTCAGATGAACTACCTGGACTCCCAGTAGATAGAGAAGTTGAATTCACCATAGATCTTCAGCCAAGCACCCAGTCTATCTCGATTGCCCCTTACCGCATGAGCCGTGTTGAGATGGAAGAGTTGAGGAAACAGATCAATGAATTGTAGGATAGTGGATTCATCCGACATAGTGTGTCCCCTTGGGATGCCAGAGTCACATTTGTAAGGAATGGAGATGTGACTTTAAGGTTATATAATGACTACAGAGGGCTGAACAGGGTCACGATCAAGAACAAGTACTCCCTCCCCAGGATCGATGACCTTTTTGATTAGTTGCGAGGTGCCCAAGTCTTCTCTAAAATATACCTGCGTTCAGATTACCATCACGTAAAGATCAAGGCAGAAGCCATTCCCAAAATAGTCTTTCAAATCAGGTACAGACACTATGAGTTTCTAATCATGCCGTTTGCACTAACCAACACACTGACCATCCTCATGGATTTGATGAACAAGGTTTTCAGACAATTTCTGGATTAATTTGTTATTGTATTTATCGATGATATCTTACTCTATTCAAAAAGCAGAGAGGAACATGCTTACCATTTTAAAATAATAAATTTAGCTTCATGTAAATGTTATATTAAATGAAGAAAATGTATTTTAAATTTTACTACATGTAATTAAATTTAAAATATATTTATTTATCAAGGAAAAAGCAAAAGAAAAAAGAAAAATCTTTTCCTGAACCTTTTAAGGTGCCAGCTGGACATAAGTAGGACCCACAAAAACAAAAGGGACATAATCCTAAGACAGCTGCGGATCGAACAAAGTCCACTCTGTCTCTCTTATCTCACACCTCCGCTCATCTCCTCTCCTATAAATACCACTTCACTCACCAACTACCATTTTCCGACACTTTTCCGAGAAAGTTAGTAGGCGTTCTCTCTTTCAGCCAAGAAAAAGTTAGGGTTTCTTGCAGAGAATGGCGGTGCCTGACAAGGGAAAGAAACCCAGGCTCGATGAGGAGCAATACTCTTGCCTTTCCCCTGATCCCAATGTTAGTCTCTGTATCGATCAGTTGCGGGAGGTTCAGGCTGAACTTGACAAGGTTCGCCTCTCAATTGTCCCCTACGTGCATGTCTCATTTCATACACCCACGCACACGCACACACACATCTACATAATAACACACGTCCACGTAAAAGTTTTTTTTTTTCTTGGTTTTTTGCGTTGGAGCAGGTTGTCATCTACACTGCTGGCTCTGTTGAATGGAATTTGATTGTATTTTTTTTTGTCGACGATGTTTTTGGTTCCCGAACTTGAAGTTTACTTGATACAGTAATTCTTACTTTGTTTTTTTTTCTCTTGATACGTTCACTATGTATCTTGTCTCTCTGTTTATTTTCTTCCAGGTTCCATTTTATTTTTCTCTGTTTTTCCTCCTGATACGATTACTTATCGCAGTGTTGATTCTCTTCCGAGTTAGAATCTGGTTAATCTATTTCACATTAGCTTGCGTATCTGATACCTGTTTACTTATCGATACCCGACTGAGCTGATTGTCTTCAAAGTTCAATCTTCCATTCTCATTCTCTGTTTCGTATTGGATTGTCGTCTTGATTGTTTGAGTGCCAGAAGTCGGTGGTTTTCATAAGCTTTTTTGTTTGATGTCCTTTTTGTTAGCCGATCGGCCTGTATGGGGGAAGCCAATGAAAGATGGTAAGCTTGCAAATTTATTTATTTATTTTTCGGGGCCAGCTGTGTTTTCTTATTCTCCCCACGGTGTCGAGTGGGAGAAGGCACACAGATTGCGTCTTCTCCACAGTTAGTCAACTCAGCGTAACCATGGAGTTGGTTGGAGGTATTTGCAGATTGCTTTGGTGGGTTAGTGTGATTACTTGAGCTTGCAATGGGATCCTTAGAAGGTTTCTGAATTTCACACAAGAACAAAATTTGCAAAGGGGATAAGATAAGTGAAGTTGAGATGCTAAGATTTGTTGTTGATGATTTTCTTGATGTTTACTTTTGATCTCTTACTAACTGCAAATAGCCATTCATTTTCTGATGAACTGTGTGAATTTTGGTTTTCTTTTGTTGCTTTCTTTTTCTAATTTCATTTTCGAATCACATATCATGAGTTAAATGGTTAATATTCTATCTACCTTTTGTTTCGACGTCACTTGATTCTGATTTCGTAACTTGATTTTTTTTATTCTCAACCTAACTATTATTTTGAGATCCTAATATTCTCATATTGCTTATATTTCTTTAACAATGTACGAAAACATCGATTTCTTTATGTAAACTCGATCATATTGAATGGATTCATGAATCTAATAAGGGTTTAATGGCATTTGATGCTTGACAGATGACTGAAGAAGCTACTGACAACATGGAAGTTCATGACAACTTTAGTGATTTGAGCAAGCCTATTTATGAGAAGAGGAATGAGCTTATCAAATCTATACCTGACTTCTGGTTGAATGCCGTGGGTGGCCTTCCTGAATTATCTACTTGCTGTTATGTCGACAAATGATGAGTTTTCTAGGTTTTATAATACAAAAAACTCCCTCACAAAATATTGCTTTATGCAGTTTATGAGTCATCCTTTTCTTCGTCTGTATCTGAATCGAGAAGACCGAAAGGTTAGCCATATGATTTTGTCATAGTCATTTGTAGCAATTTTCATTATTCTTATGCTATGCTGGGAATATGTTACGTCTATTTCATAATTTTATTTTCATGATGTTCAAATAGATATTTAGCTATTTGATTTCTGTTGAGATGGACGAGTTTAAAGGGGAGGGAGCAGGATATGGATACACCTTCATCTTTGTGAGTCACCTCCAACCTTTTTCTATTTATATTGTTTATTTTTCTGAAGATCAATTATTATTCAGAATTTTTTCTTATTGGTTAACTATTTATTTCCCTTCTTAGCTAGATTGCTTGTGCCTTAAGTGCCCTGCTAACTGTTTTTGCTCGCTTATACTGACAGCATTTTGAGGAGAATCCATATTTTGAAGGTGAAATGCTGACCAAAACTTTTACATTTTCGGAGAAAGAAATAGTAGATAAAATAACTGGTGCAACCATCAAGTGGAAGGCAGACACGGTAGTGATGCTTCTCCCACATCATACTCAAAGCTAGATCTTCTTTGTTGTTCTCTTACATGCATACTTGTGGTCGAGCAATTTTTCCTAATTATGCATTTTGTGAAGGCTTATGCAAAAGGAGTTAGAATTCTCAAAAGAAGGAGGTGGATACTGGCATCTAAGGATAGGTAAATTATATATAATATATACAGAAATGGAAGCCCTTGTAGAATAAAATTTTTGCATAATTGCCTTTGTTTCTTGTGCACTGGAGTATATGGTGATCTGAAGTCATCCATTTTGTTTGAGCAATAATTGAAATTGATGAGTCACTGAGCAAAGTTAGATGAGCAAGTATATGATTTCGTTGTATGAATTTAATGAAAACCGAGCAAAATATATCATGGTTATCGTAATTTTGTTCGTAACTTCTTTATGGATTTCAAGAAACACGACTATCGTAGTGTTGCAGAAGGTTTGTTGGAGATGAAAATTTGAGTTGAAATGCAAAACTTTTTTTTCTTCTTCATTTCTCATGAAAGAACAGCTCAGTATTTAGTCAGTTTAGGATTATTTAATGTTTAGACAGATGTTTTGCATACGATAAATTTAATTCATATTGCTTACCATTTGAGGCATAGGAGATTTGAGCCCATTTTGCAAAGTCTTTTTTCTTTTAAACAAAATTTTGAATTGTTGATTCGTTTCCATATTTTTTGCCACTCCAAAGAAACTGGTGAAAGAAACATGCCTCTTGATTCTTTTTGGTTGTTCATGTTCGTAACTATGTATGTTTAATCAACTTTATCTAACTCCTCACTAATATTTTGGTCGTAGTTTCTTCTGTTGGTTTACTGAACCCCTAAAGAAAAGCATGGAAGAGGTCCAAGTTGAGGTTAATTTTTTTATCATTTTCTTTATTATCGTTTTTTGTCTATGAAGTTTATATGTATGCTTATGTTAAGCTTGCTAATTGTATTTTTGACCTGTCGTTAGTGGTGCTGATCGGCGACAGGAAGCAGCGTTTCTCTATTATTGCAATAACTAAAATTTATCATACATTGATTTAATATATGTTTGGAAGTTGCAGATTGCATTGATGATTAAGGAAGAGTTATGGCCCGATCCTCTAAGATTCTTTGAGGTAATTTTCAATCCTTACCTATTCTCCTTTTCATCCTTATTATAGATATTTCTCCTTTTCTCTCTTTATTTATGTTTGTGGACGTTATAGGAATTATTTGTCCGATATGATGTTTTTTTCAAATTTATGAATTTACTATTCCAGGAAAATGAGGCTTCTGAATGAAAGTGTATACGATGGTGAAGACCGCATGGAGGTAATGTAATTAGAATTTGTGAACTTCGTAAAATATTTTCATAAATGACTAACCAATATATGAAGAGTCCCAAAGTTCATAAATTGATTTTGTTAACAACTAATATCATACATGAGAAGTCGAAGATACATGCAGACATACATGCGTGCAACTCTACATAATGTATTATTTTGCTTTCGTGTTTTGAGGTTTTCTATTAATATTGTTTCATAAATTTTGATGCAGGATTTGGTTCAATTGACTTTACATTCTCTATTAATTCACACTCTTAATTTCATATTACTCTTAAGATATAAACTTATGAGTTTGATATCATTTCTCTCTCGCTGGCATCATAAATCTTTAGTAGAGGGAGTTCAATTATCTTAATTCGTTAAAACAAATTTATACCCCAAAGAATTCCAGGTGAGAATAGATATTAGATTTATTGCAAAAATTATGTTATGCATGTCAAGAGTAGTATGAATTAGACATAGGAATTAAATGAGAATGGAATGAAATTAAACATAATTTAAACATAAATGCTATATATTTTCTTGAGCTAATTTAGTGTCTCGGTTAAAAACTAGCATTTAGTCTGCAGAAAAGTTATGTTGATTATTTCAAGCAAAAACAAAATCTAATTTTTCCAATGTGAAAATTTACTTTTGAGTTCACTAGATTTCAGGGAGAAAGTACCAACTGATGTGAAGTCTCGATGTTCATTGGGTTTCATGTTGGTTCCAGAATATTTTGACCTCTCTCCATACATTACTTTGTGAAGGATTTATTACAATTTGATGCAGATTTTGAATTTTTTTGATTTTATTAAACTTCAAGATGACATATTTTTCAGGAAAATAGACAGGCTTCTGAAAATAATATTACTATCTTTTATTTTATGACAAAGTGGTTTTATTATTTATAAAATTTGAAATGCAATAAACTTTATTTAAAATTGAATATCCCCGTAATTTATTCAATTATAGAAGAGTTATTCAGAATTTACGAGATGATAATAACATGTATTTTAATTTATGATATAAGTAGAGTGTACACATACCACTCCTACCTCAAAGTGACACATTCGTGTAAATTGCTAATGCTGATTTGTGCATGACACCTACACTAAGCCTAGGCACTAGTAATCTCTAAATACAAGTCCAAGTATTCATGTAAAGTTCCTATTAATGACCCACTGAAAAAAATTAAAATAACATATTTATCACAATATACTAATAACATATATCTATCATCTCAAAGTTTAACTCCATACATATTCTGTGAACACTAAACTGTTATAATAATAAAGTAAGATAAAAATTATAAAAATATATATATATTTTTTAATAATTTGAAATTGGTACTAAATCTATTATAAGTGAAATTTGATACTAGAAGCCTTCTAATCTAGCTTTGAAATTCTGGGTTACGAGAGAATCATAAAAGTGCAAAGTACTCATCTAGTTATGTACTTACAATTAGTTTATTAAAATGTATAATATTTTTCTTCTTTTTTTTTTGCTTTTATTTTTTAGTGTTTTATTGACCTTTTTTTATTTGATAAGGTGTGTGTTGTGTTTATTTGATGATAAGGTGATTTAACTAATAAAAAATTATAAACCTAAGAAGACCAAAAACTTAATATATTTTTTCCACTTATTTTTACTTTTCAGCATGCTTATTACCCAATCTCTTTATATTTTCACATTTGGTTAACGAAAAACACTTTTAATTCATTTTATCAGTTTTATTTGTGATCACTCCAAATTCTTAGAATCCCGGCATGCATATATTAACACATCAATACCATCTTGTTAATAAATAAACCAAGAATGCTAGAAAAAAACAGAAAACAAAAGTATTAAGAATACAAATTAATTAACCATACTACTCCAGAACCGTTAAATAATATCTAAATTTTGCAAAGCCTTCTACACTCAATTCCTTAAGAACAATGAAGCAAACTCTTCTGAATTTTGACTCCCCCTTACTATTTTCTTGAAGGAAAAAGAAAAAGATCACAAAGTTTCTCCGGTTCTACCCACTGAAGAAGCTTCTTACAGATTTCTGTCTCTCGAAAATTCTCTAAAAATTTCTACGAACTCAACAGGGATGAGATTCTTTGTTTTGCCTATAAAAAGAGAGTTGGAGGAGGAAAACGGGAGGCTTTTCATCGGGCAAGAGATTCGAACATATAAAGAGGAAAATAGTTTTTTTTTTTTTTCTGTATCTGTTTCTGATATTATTTCTTAAAAATATACCTTACATCTTTTATCTTTTTCTTATTCTGATGCTATTCAGCAACCAGAGAAGAGGAAGCTTCAATAATAGAAGAGCAATGGAAACCAGTAATAGGCTTGGCCCGTCCTCTTTAGTGACTGAGCTTGATCTAAAAATATTTTATAAAGTTAACAAAAACTGACTTGACTTTTTTGTTGGGGTTGCCTAAAAGAAGAAATTAGAAATTTCTGGCTGGGTTCAAAAATTTAAATGGTTGATTTTCTTTCTCATATAATCCTCAAACTCCCAAAATAGCATTTTTTTTCTATATTCCTTAATTAAAATTTTGTATTGGATACAATTTTCTATCTAAAACTTTTTTATTTTCTTTTCCACAATTTCGAGTCTTTTATCAGAAGATGAATGTTGTCGAAGCTGCAATATGCCAACTTAATCATATGATTTGTTTTCAATGCATTTTCTTAAGCTGGTTGAATAACTCACATGAACGTTTTCTAAAGGTATACAGTTAATAATTCTTTATGCAACATTTGTAATTCAAGACTCCGTTAGATTACAATCTTCATTTCTTTAAAATTCAAATATAGTGATATAATTAGTAGGTGATAACTTCTAAAATACTTAATTACTTATTTGAAACTGAAGTTTTCACTTTCTGTCGTCAGCAACTCTTTCATTTCCACTACGAAATACCAAGTTTATTCAACAGAATTTCTTCATCAATTATCCAAAATTTTTGAAACAAAATTCTCTCTTTCCTCATGTTATTTCAACAAATTTGTAATTAACCTTTTTTTTTCTTATGCAAATCTTTATATACGATATGTAGTACTTAGTAACTGTTAACACAAACAAAATACGAAATAAAATATTAATCAAAGAATCTTTCAAATTCAAGATACTCTCTTCCAATATTCTTAAGAATTCATATAATTATCTGAGACTTAATATTATTAATACTCTATTTAACAGCGAATAAACTATACTAAGATTTTATTTAATTGTCATTACTCCAACCAAAGTTCATCCAAATTTTGCGGCCAACGTAGAATCTTTGTCTAAAAATTAGTATCAAGAATTTCATCACTTTGTAGTCTCTTTTCTATGCAAAGTAGCTAGCTTATTTAGTGAATACTTGATCTTGATATCCAAAATGAGTTTATGCCGTCAATTTGTATAGATAACTCAAATTGCATAAACTAATTAGAGAATTCAGGTAAATCTATCATAAAATCTATACTAATTTTTTTTACATTTCTTTTCAATAACTAGGTGACTCGAAATTTTTTCATGCACATCGAATGCTCAATTTTTTCTTAATTAAATACTAAAAATTATAAATATATCTATCAATACCTTTCTTACTATTTTCACATATTATCATAATATTTAGTATCTCTATCAAACATGTACTAGCATAATTAAATTTGTTAAAGACCTTTTTCTTTCCAAATTATGTGGTCAAATATCTATTATCCAAACATAAAATGTCAATCTTTCTTAATAAGAAATTTTTTTTGAACACTAGCTTTCATTTTTCCTTGCTCATTTATCTATATAAGTACTCAAACCTCTTAAATTGTGGATTCTTTCAATAAGTATTGCTTGGAATCCAAGATTAGAATATTATACTTGAAAGATTAAAGCTAAAATACTTTAAATTCTCATCACTTGCAAATCTTTCAAAATTTCTTCCAATACAAAATTAAGGTTATAAAATTACCATAACTTTTTTGTGAAAAAACCGACCACTAAGTTCACATTTTAGAAGATAATCCAAATATAAAACTTTTCAATCATTTCAGTCACTCTCTACCTCCTTCATCCAACTTTTAAGCATAGTTTACATTCTTTAAACCATAAATATATCCATCATTCAAAATAATTTCTTCCTAAACTTTTAAAATAAGAAATGATTGTTAACTATAAACATATGTAAGACAATTCTGCTTACAACGTTTCAACTCTCAAAATATCCATACAATGACTTTCAAATTCATTACAATATATTCTAACTCCTTTCTAGATCTTTGGTTTTAGATTTGTGAAGTTACAAGTACATATATCAGTTGATAAAGACATCACAATAAATTAAGTATCCTAAAACATGCCTTAAACAACAAGTTAAAGAAATCCTTAATCATATTCCTCACGTCAAAGATTAATTATCTTTTAAGAATATTTGAGAGAACATTTAATTCCTCATATATGGGGTACTTGTTTCTTATTATTTCCTTTATAAGTTCTTGGTAGAATTTAATCCAATGCATACTCTAATCTTCTTTTTGCTTCCCATAAAAAGAATACATTACATCCTAATAATAATTTTCAGTATAAAACATATACTTGCTAAGAAATTTACGTAATTGTTCATGCACCACTTTAGCTTTATCAATTGTAAACTTAAGAATTCTTAGAGATATAGAAACACTCATCGAAACATAGAAAAGTTCAGAAGCCAAAAAATTTTGATATAACTTATGTTCACTTAAATTAAAATTTAAGCTGACATGTTAGTAAATTTGTCTTCATCAATTCATCATCAATCCATAATTAAAATTAAATTTATTTAGTAAAAAGTCAAACTTTACTTCTATTTTCATTTTACAAAATTTAATATCTTTACTTCTATGACTTTATTTAGTGAAAAAAATTTATTTACATTATATTATAATAAAAAAAAATATTTTTATCTTTATTATTATTATGTTTTCTTTAGCAAGATAATAATGTTGATTTTATTTAATGATAGATAAATTTTTATTATATTACAATATAATTTTATAAATGATAGATACATTTTTAATTAGATTATAGTACAATAATTATAAAGAATTTATCTTTGTTATTTTAGTTGACTATGTTTGATTTTAAGACTGATATCAACTTAATTAACTTCCTATGACAAAATTTTAACTAACTTTATCTTTATATTTTATTTTTAATATATATTTTTGCTAATGCAAGTAAAGGTCTTGTTTATTTTCATTCATTTTTCTGATTTTACATTCTTTTTTTATTTATTTTAATATTTTTAATTAAGTTTACTACCTTATTTTTAATTTTCCCGTCTAACAAACTGATAATATTGTTTTTCTATTTCATATCTTTACTTTTATAACTTATTTAGTGATAGACAAATTTTTATTTATATTATAATATAATTTTAGATCAACTAATAAATTTGCTTTTCTATTTTTGTTTAATTGAATTTAATGCCTTTACTTTCATGAGTTGATTTAGTTATAAATTTTTATTTTTATTGTAATATAATAAATAAAAATAAATAATTATTTTTATCACTGATGAAACTAAAAAAATTTTTTTATAAAAAATTTCTTTATACAGTTAGTATACACACTATTATTATTATTATTATTATTCAATTATTTTCTTTTTTATTATGTGGTTTTTCTTTTTTTAAATCGGTTTTTTTTTTTAAATTTCTCATTAAAATAATATTTTCCGTTGTTTTAATTTTTTATTTTATTTATTTATTAAATTTCACTTCAAATTTACTTTTAAAACATTTATTTTTACTCATTATTTTATATTTCACAAATACATACGAAACAAAATTATTAATCTATAATAAATGTCGAATTTTCACCTGATTTTATTTATATAGTATCAGAAAAATCAACTTATTTTGTAAAATAATACAATTTAGTTTCATGTAAATGTTATATTAAATGAAGAAAATACATTTTAAATTTTTCTACATGTAATTAAATTTAAAATATATATATTTCTTATTTCATTACCAAGGAAAAAGCAAGAGAGAAAAAAAAATCTTTTGCTGAGCCGTTTGAGGTGCCAGCTGGATAATGTGGGACCCATAAACACAAAAGGAACATAATCCTCAGACAGCTGCCGATTGAACGAACTCCACTTTGTCTCTCTTATCTCACCTCTCCCGCTCCTCGCCTATCCTATAAAATACCACTTCACTCGCCAACCCCCATTTTCCGACACTTCTCCGAGAAAGTTACTAGGCGTTCTCTCTTTCAGCCAAGAAAAAGTTAGGGTTTCTTGCAGAGAATGGCGGTGCCTGGCAAGGGAAAGAAACCCAGGCTGGACGGCGAGCGAGACTCTCTTTTTCGCTCGATCGAGCAGTTGCAGGATGTTCAGGATGAACTTGACAAGGTTCGCTTCTCAATTGTCCGCTGCCTCTATCTACGTGCATGTCTCTCTTTTCATACATATATATGTATGTATATAATAACACAGGTACACGTAAACATGTGTTTTTTTTGGTTTTGTATGGGAAAAGGTTGTCATCTACGTTGACGGTTTTTATGAATGGAATCTGATTATATTTGTCCGGTCCACGATTTTTTTGGTTCACTAACTTGAACTTTACTTGATACAATAACTCTTACTTTGTTTTCTTTTCTCTTGATACGTTCATTATATATCTTGTCTCTATGTTCATTGTCTTCCAGGTTCCATTTTATTTTTCTCTGTTTTTTCTCCTGATACGATTGCTAACTTATCGCAGGGTTGATTGTCTTCCAAGTTAGATTCTGGTTAATCTATTTCACATTAGTTTGTGTTTCTTCCGATACGATGTTTATTTATCGATATTCTTCTGAGTTGATTGTCTTTCAAAGTTCAAGTTTCGATTCTCTGGTTCGTATCGGATAGTTGTCTTGATTGTTTGAGTGCCAGAAGTCGGTGGTATTCGTAAGCTTTTTTGTTTGACGCTGTTTTTGTTAGCCAATAGACCTGTATGGGGGAAGCAACTGAAAGATGGTAAGCTTGCAAATTTCTTCATTTTTATGGGCCAGCTGTGTTTTTTTCTCCCCTCGGGGTCGAGTGGGAGAAGGCACAAAGCTTGGTCTTCTCCATAGTTAGTTAACTCAGCATAACCATGGAGTTGGTTGAAGGTATTTGCAGATTGCTTTGGTGGGTTAGTGTGATCACTTGAGTTTGCTATGGAATCCTTAGAAGATTTCTGAATTTGGTTTTACTCAAGAACAAAATTTGCGATGGGGATAAGATAAGTGAAGTTGAGATGTTAAAATTTGTTATTAATGACTTTATTGATGTTTACGTTTAATCTCGTACTAACTGAAAATATCCATCCATTTTCTGATGAACTTTGTGGATTTTAGTTATCTTTTGTTGCTTTCTCCCCAACTCTCATTTTCAAATGCGTTATAATGAGTTAAATGAGTCAAATTAGGAAAGTTAGCAATTTCTCCAACTTTTGTTACGGCATTTTTTATTCTAATTTCGTAATTTGATTGTTTTTTTTTTCGAACGGACTTTATTAATACCCTAATTTTCTTGGATTGCTTATATTTCCTTGACTACGGAAGAAAACATCGATTCAGTTTTGTAAACTTGATCATATTGAGTGGGGCATGAATGTAATAAGGGTATAATTGCTTTTGATGCTTGATAGATGGCTGAAGAAGCTAACGACAAGGTGTTGGAAGTTCATCGGAAGTTTACTGATTTGAGCAAGCCTCTTTATCAGAAGAGGGATGAGCTTATCAAATCTATACCTGAATTCTGGTTGCTTGCAGTGAGTAGTCTATATATTTTCTGAATTACCTGTTTGCTGTTATGTTAACGAATACTATGGCTTCTAGGTTTTATGATTTAAAAAAAAATATATGACGAGATATTGTTTTATGCAGCTTCTGAAACATCCTGTACTTGGCAATTATCTGAATTACGAAGACCAGAAGGTTTGCCACATGATTTTGTTATTTTCAAGTTACATGTAGTAAATTTCATGATTCTTACGCTATGCTGGCCATATGTTGTATATATTTCTTAAACTTGTTTTCATTATGTTTAAATAGATACTTAACTATTTGACTTCTGTTGAGATGGACGAGTTTAAATGGGAGCAAGGAAGATACGGATACTCACTCATCTTTGTGAGTCGCCACCAACCATTTTTTATTTAAACTGTTCATTCTTCTGAAAACCAATTACTATTCAGAATTTCAGCTTATTGGTTAATTATATATTTTTCTTCTTTGCTAGACTGCTCGTGCACTAAGTACCCTGCTAATTATTTTTGCTTGCTTATACTAACAGCATTTTGAGGAGAATCCTTATTTTGAAGATGAAACGTTGACCAAAACCTTTACATTTTCTGCTAAGGGAAGAGCAAAAGTAGCTGGTGCAACCATCAATTGGAAGGAAGGCATGGTAGTGATGTTTCTTTCATATCATACACAATGCTATATCTTTCTTTGTTGTTCTCTTACATGCATACTTGTGGTCGTGTAACATTCCTAATTTTGTATTTTGCGAAGGGTAATGCCAATGGAGTTAACATTTTTACGAGAGGAAACAAGCGAACATTGGCATATGAAGATAGGTAATTTGCGTGTGTGTGTTTGTGTGTGTAAGAAGAAAGAGATGGCATGTATTATAGAGTCAAAGCTTTGTATAATTTTCTTCTGTTTCTTATGCACGAAAGTATATGGTGATTCGATGACATCCATATTATTTGAGCAATAACTGAAATTGATGAGCTGCTAAGTAAATTATATGAGTAAGGATAGGATTTCATACCGTAAATTTAATGGAAATCTTTATCATACTGATTTCTTAAATGGAAGTTGGTGGATCAATCAAACCAGATTTTATAAACTGCACTGTGACAACAGATGCGTTATGCATATGTCAGGTGGAGAGAATTTTGATAACAACGGAGGTAGGTCTTTACTTAGGTGTAACAACGGTTTATATGTCTACACATAGAAACATAACTTACTTCAAAGTTCTATGTGCTTGAAAAGGGAAAGGTAGCTAAATATATCCCGGTTGTCCTAATCTATTTCTTACTGTTCTATGACTATCAAGAAACACGATTGTCATAGTGTGCACAAAATCTGTCGGAGACGAAAGTTTGAGTTGAAATGCAAAGTCCTTTTTCTTCATTTCTCAGGAACCAACTGTTTAATATGCAGTTAGTTTAGAGTTATTCATGTTTAGGCAAATGTCTTGCATACTATAAATTGAGTTCCACAATGTTTATTCCTTTGAAGTATAGGAGATTTGATCCCATTTTGCCTGCAGCCTTTATCCTCTTAAACAAAAGTTCAAATTGCTGAGTCTTTTCCTTATTTTTTTGAAAAGGGATTGTTGAAAGAAACATACCTCTTGATTCTTTTTACTTGTTCATGCTCACAATTATGTGTGTTAAATTCACTTTATCTAGCTAATTACTGATATTTTGGATGCAGTTTTTTCAGTTTTTTTGGCGAACCCTTAGAGAAAATCGCGAAAGAGTTTCAAGTTGAGGTTAATCTTTTAATCCTTTTCTTTATTTTCTTGTTTTATCTATGAAGTTTATATGTATGCCTATGTTAAGCTTACTAATGGTATTTGGGACCTGTCGTTAGTGGTGCTGATTGGCCACAGGAAGTGGCGTTATTTAATTATTACGATAACTAAAATTTACCATAATTTGATTTAATATATATTCGGAAGTTGCAGATTTCCTTGATGATTAAGGAAGAGTTATGGCCCAATCCTCTAATATTCTTTACGGTAATTTTTCTTTCTTACATACTCTCCTTTTTATCCTTATTGTAGAGACTTTTTTTTTTTTCTCTCTTTACTTATGTTTGTGGACATAATAAGAATTATTTGGTTGATATGATATTTTTTTTCAAATTTATGAATTCACCATTCCAGGATGATGAGGATTGTGATGAAGATGATGGTAAACATGATGTGGAGGTAATGTAATTTGAATCCCTGAACTTCGTAAATTTTTTCCATGAATAAGTAACCAATATATGAAGAATCTTGAAGTTCATAAATTGTTTCCATTAATAACTAATATCATATATGAAGAGTCGAAGATACATGCAGATATGCATGCATGCACTCTACATGATGTATTCTTTTGCTGTCAGAGTTTTGAGGTTTTCACTTAATATTATTGCAGTAGGATCATTTGACTCATTTTCTATCACATTTATACATCTGCAACACAAAGAGCAGCTATCATCATCATCATCTTGATGCTGTATTTGGTTTAAATGACTTTACATTATCTATTAACTTACAAATTATGTTCTACACATCAAGATTAGTATGAATTAGATATAGGAATTAAGTGAGAATGAAATAAAATTAAACAGAACGTAAACATAAATATTATATATTTTCCCGAGCTAATTTAGTATCTGAGTTAAAAACTATCCCTTAGTATGCAGAAAAGGTATAGTGATTATGTCAGGCAAAAATAAAATCTAATGATGTGTGAAACCATGAGTTTGTAAAGAATCGAGGAATCATCTTGACAAAAAACTATATTATCAAATTAAAGTAAATTTCCATGCAAGATAAGCCCACATCTACTTCTGCTATACATAGATTTTTAGATTTTTTTTGTCTGGTCTAATCATTTTCCTTGGGAAAGTCCATCGCCGTAGAAACATATATAGAACTCCTTTAATACCTTTCTTCTCCCCACAAGCTGCATGCACAGACCACTCAAGTGAGCTTTCTCCCTCAAGAGGACTGCTAGCCTTCAGTACATTTCAGGGCTCTCTTAATTCAGCAGTTGCAAAGCTAACATATTAATTTTTTATGACTTTATGTCTGAAAGAATGTTTAAATAAAAATCTACTATTTTTCTTGAAATACCTTCTAACATGTACACATTTTCAATACCTTCCTCTCCCAACACTTGTAAATTTATTGCACCATACAAACTTTGATTTGCTTGGTTCTGATTGAGTTCTTTGTAAGCAGGAGCCAGATGATGATGATGATGATGGTGATGATGCTGCTTACGATTCTGATTATGATGCTTTTGAGCATAGTTCTGATGATGATGATCACAGTGATGATTAAGAAGATGTGATATGAGGCATGTTAATAAATTATGTGATAGTTTTCGTAGTTTTCTTCTGAAGGTGAATAAGTAATCCAGTTATTACAAACACTTCTAGTTGTATAAGACAATTTTCATAGTTATTGATGGTGTGTAATTTATTAGTTCTTCACAGATGACTGCGATGAATTTTCTGCCTTTTAGGGTATCTGACATTAGGCCTTTGAACTACGTCTTCATATTAAATATTTCTCATTACTTAGAGTTATTTGTATGACTGTCAGTTATAAACAAAGTTAGTTGTTTCAGTATACATATTTCAGTGTGATCAAGTACACTTTTTGAGAATATATGATAGCTGAACTAGATAGCCTATGAGAATGCAGTAGTTTTCAATCATTCTGTATGGAATGAGGCAGTGTGCCTTTCTCTAAAAAATTATGAGTTTCGGATATTGTAATCTTAATTTTACATTGAGATAATGTGTATAATATTTAATTGAGTACTTTAAAGATATGAGTTGAGGTGTAGCACCCGGAAAGGAGGAGGAAAAAAAAAAAAAAAAAAAAAAAAAGGGGGGGGGCCACGTCAGCAGCCACGTCAGCAGGCCCGGTCAGCAGTCCCGGCCAACCAGGGCCTGCCACTTGGCAAGATCGCGTCACTCCGAAAGGAGCCACGTTGGCGATCCGCGTGGGTGCGATCCGACGGCCCAGATCAATCACGCGATCGGACGGCCCAGATTCAAACGCACGGACGGCCCAGATTCAATCAAAAACGAACGGTCCAGATTAAAACGAAATGAACGGCTGTGATCAAAAGGCAAGGGGTTATAAATAGAACCTCCACACCAGACCAAAAACCCTAGCCGCCAACCGCTCGCCGGAGAAGACGAACCAGAGGCCGACCGCCGCCACCCGCCGCCACTCGCCGCCGCACCGGGGAAATTTCCGACCGCCGATTGAGGTAAATTTCATACCCCCGACTCGTTTTTCCCTGCTGATTCCTCCTATGGCCAAATCGAGGCCGAAATCCCGGCCAAACGGCCGGAATACGCGGCCGAAGCCCAGCGGCGCCGCCGCGCCCCCTCTCGGTTTTTGCCTCCGACGAGGCCCTTCCCGGCCTCCGTTCGATGCAATTTTTATATCACCGTGATCACCATTCTTTTCTCTACAGGTTGACCGGAGCCGAATCACCAAAACACGAATCTCGCCGGAGAGCCGCTGCACCCGAGAGCGCCGCCGCCGGTAAGCTCCGTTTTTCCGCGATTTTTTGGCCCCCCGAGGGCCCTAGGGTTGTTTTCTGACAAGGACCAATGCGAGCGTGGCCGAATTCGGCCGAAAACGGCCGAAAACAGCCAACCCGAGGCGACTCGCCGCCGCCAGCGGCGGCGCCGTCGCCGGAGCACGGCGGAGCCGCCGTGCCAGAGTTGCGATTTGGGCCGAAGGAGGCCCTGGGCCTAATTTGGATTTTTTTTGGAACACGTGCAGGTACTGTTAGTGTGTTTCAGTTTCCCGGGAAAAAAATTCAGGGAAAATTAGGGACGGCCTGCAGGCGCACTGTGAATCGTATTCGGATTTCGAAAACAAGTAAGGACCCCTCACCCTATTTCCTATCACGGTATTAAAGTTCAAAATGATAAAACGATATTTCTTGAATTAACGCATGTGTGAAATTGCTTAAGGTTGCTAATGGAGCCCGAGTCTAGTGTGATTGATGATTTACTGTTATTTGGCATGTTTTACAGCTTTAAATGCATTATGGGGTTTGATGTGTTCATTTTATAGTTTCGAATGCATATATTACTGTTTTATTAATTATGGGTTGAATGACTGAAGAACTGATACTGTATGTTGTCTGTTCGGCATGAATTACGATTTGCTTGTTTAAATGTGAATTGATGATGCTGATTGAGGAAAAGGAAAATGAAAGATTGTGTAGACTGATAATTGTATTATGGGGGTCAGCCTGACTAGATATCCTGGGAGATGGTGGACGGACCGGGTCCGTAGGGAACCCTACCGGGATTGTGGTCTCACATGCCGGACGGGGTATTGAGGTTTATGGTTTTGGCGCCCATACCGGACGGGGTATGGGGACGGCCCGTTTCACCCTCATACCGGACGGGGTATTGAGGTTCATGGTTTTGGCGCCCATACCGGACGGGGTATGGGGACGGCCCTGGAAACTGATTATGAATGTTAAAGATTAACGGGTAGCGGAACCCCTATGGACCCCCACGGATACTAGTAGGCTGGTAAATGAAAGAAAAAGATATGTTGTACAATGACTGAATTACAAGAGGCGTGATAAGTGTTATGTTTTACAACTTAGATTATTCAATGATTATGATAATGTTATTGTTTTTCTCATATTGTTTTCATAAATTCCACCAAGGTAAGTGGATGGTAAAAGTTTTATTATTGATAAAAGGTTTTGTTGTAAATTATGCTCCATTGGTCTTTTTGTGTTTTTCTACCCACCTTTATCTCCGTGACGGTGAGATATCGTGATGTTCTTACTGGGCTAGTGTAGCTCACTCCTTAATTAACCATTTCAGATCAGGAAGACATGGTTCCCGAGCCCGTTCCGCAGGAGGACGACGAAGGAGATGCCTAGAGACTCTGTAGTCATACGCATAGTTTATTTTCGAGTTTTCTTTCTTAGTTAGTTTAACCTTTTATATTTTAAGTACGTTTCTGGTCTTTCGTGTAAGGGATGTTAACTGAAATTTTGATCTCGCTTCCGCATTTGATATATTTAAATACTCATTTCTTTCTAATATTTCCGGGGCCGTTACATGAGGAGATTGTAACATTCATTTTAGTTTGCAGTTGTTGAGTTTTATATTTAAAAATTAAACTATATGCTATTAAAAACTTAAACTTAAAAGAGCCAGTGGATTTAGCTCAAAAGTTATTATAGACATCAATATATATACAACAATTCTGAAGTTTACAGTAATTATACTATCCTATCAGTATAGTTATTAAACTCTCTCTTATTTAATAAAATTTCTTCAAACCATTTGGTTTTTCTGAATTTTACTTACTACATTTTTATATTTGTTGAAATTTTTTGGGTTAAATAGGTGAAAATAGATGACTGAATACTAGAAGTATTAATTAATTTTTAACAAACAAAAAAGTATTAGAATTAGTATATGTATTATTATCCAATACACCAATCTGATACTACAAAAATATAAAAAACTTACTGTATATGGAATTTTTTTTCTTAAAATGCACCTGTAAAAAATATTTTAAATGACATCAGTAAAGTACACAAAACCAAAGACACACAAAAAGTGAAAGTTAGAGA